CACCATTGGCTGTACGGAACGAACAAGTGAACGACCACATTTGGCCAATTAGTCATCCTATATATTTACGCAGACGCTCTGTATGTTTTGTCCTGACAATACAGCCGTGTCCCCAGTTCTCTGTCTTCTCCCTATCGCGCAGTCTGGCAGGCTCAGTGCAGGCGTAACCCATAGACGGCACCGCCACCGCAAGATACAACAGTGACGGTGCACTAATAATGGGGTATTCTCGTCAGGCGTCAGACAGTGAAATAAAAGAGCCGGATATTCTCGAGAATACGCACAACTGAGAAGTTAAATTAGACTTGATTTTGATGCCAGTGCTTCCTCCTTGCCAAGTTCCAGACAGAAAATGGAACATGATGTTTGCACACTGCGCCACACTCATACAATGACCGGTATCACAGTTACAGCTTATTCTTGACAGTGTATGAAGTTGGACGGAAAACGTTTGCGGGTAAGTCCAGCGCGATTTGAACAGACATCCTGTATTGGAAAGGCTACGTATGTTTTCACTAAAGCCATAAATTTGTCCAACACTTAAACTGACCGTGCGTGTTTACATAAAAAAATGTCAAGAAACTCACTTCCGACACAACTTCGTCTCTCAATTCGTCAATCTTTTGCCGCGCCTCATCAAACAACGAAATCACAGCTGTGATATTTAAGTTGAACTGTTCAATTACCGTAGACAGGGCCACGCTTGGACCGACTTGTACCGCTTTTGCGTTGAAACTGAAAACTAGCGTTGTTACAGTTTGCTAAGCGGGAGGTGGGAAAGTTGAAGAGGGAAAATGATAAAGAGAGAGCTCTTAAAAATGTTCCGAACATGTTTGTAGGGCTAGAACCCTAGTTTGGAAAAGACGCGTTATGTTCACCGGACTAACGTTCACTCACGTCAATGTTTAAGATAATTCGGCCTCGAGTCGACAACAGGTGGCAGGAACGTAAGAAAATAAAACTACTTTTTTGAAGAAGACCAAATATCTGTTCTGACTTTTGTGCTCCGAATGGTGGGATTTTCAGACGTGTGGATAGGTTGCTGTGCACGGCTTCTCGTGTACCAAGTAGGTAATGCTCTGTTTCAAGTACACACGTAGTAAATATTCGGGTTACCAACGTATATAGTGATATCTTCGCGCATGCGGAAGTCTCAAAGTTCTTGGGCCTACGAATACCAGCTGATCGCCGGTTTATTTGATCGACTGTGGACTAAATAGGCAAATACGGGACAACCTCACTCTCCAACGAAATTAAGATCTGTTTAATGGATAAGGTGTCGCCACTGCTAAAACTGATTATACTTGGGGTTCCGTAAACAACTGAGGTGTATTGCTGGTGTCTCCCTATCTTCCTGTATCGAAACTGATAGAAGCTTGATGTAGGCAGCCTCATGATGATGACTAAAAACGATTGTGACCTGTCCTTTAAACGTGGTTATCTGTGCCAATCATTGCATGACTGCGCTTAGGATTTCGCACCTCATACCCCGATTAAGGCCACAGCTGTTCTTACGTCAAGAACTGGAAAGGTTGGTGATTCCCGCAAAACAAGCAAGACTGACCTTCCAACGGTGCGATCCTCGCATCATCTCCAGAAGTTACGCCCATGATGCAGCTAATTGTAACACACATAGGGGCTTTTAGGTGTCCAACGAGTGTGTATTACGCAGACGTAATGTACCGGCTGCGATGAATACTTAGTGGGCTCAAAAACCTGTAGCGGTGAAGATGCATAGTCAGACCTTCATGGCTGATGAGGGTGTTCCGCTAACCCTTCAAATGTCATTGGGTTTTGATAACAAGTTATGAAAGATAACGTTGGCACCCCTCGTTTTACAGTTGGTGGTCGAATCATGATTGAAGATCGTCCCTTGCTCATGCGTATCACCGTGTGAAACACGACCATTCAGCTACTCCTCACAAAAACGCAATGATGATGTCGCCTCAGTTGAAAAAAATTCGGAGCTCAGCGGCCGGTTGGGCCACCGACTAACAAGAGTGTACAGGACATGCAGCACACACTCAACTCAACGTTGACGATTTCGTATTTAAAGTTAAGCGACCAACAAGAGTGTACAGGACAAGCAGCGCACACTGTGTGTTCAACTCAACGTTGATGATTTCGTATTTAAAGTTAACCGTTTTGGCCACATCATCGAGGGATATATAATTTCCTTCCATCCTGTCAACTGCCGTCGTTCAGGTTAGGACGGAATTTGTTTTCATTTCTGTACTTTGATCCTTGGAAAACCACACCGAGGCCCATCATCGATCCTCGTATTGATTTATATCTAGTTGCAGATCATTAGGTCAGGCTTTCTAAAAACACCAACATTTCTCGTTGGCTATATATGACGAGGAAGATTTGGTAAGTTTCCGTTGGGAAAGAGGACAATTCACCTCAAGGCCATTTCAAGGCCCAATTATATGGCGCGTCCTACCTCCAAGTCCTCCTGTGGTACTGACGTGATGATTCGAACCGAGCTAATTCCGGTAGACTTGTGTTCCTCCCCGGTCAATCCCCGGTTATCTGGCATTGTTTTAAGAAACGTTCCGCTAAGTCAGCGGAATGCACTCGTTTGCAAACAAATTTGGTTTCGCGAGAGAATCACTTGGAACCTAGCTGCATTTCCCGTTAATGATGTTCACAAGCAATTGAATGTGCTACACCAGGCCGCCTCATGTTCGAGATATCGCGATACATGTAGAGGTAATGCACTACTCATAAGGCTCCTGCCCTGAAGGTTTCGCCCTTCTTGAGGCTCATCATGTAGGTAGTCCCCGAGGCTCCGTCAACCTTATGTTTTCTACTTGAACCCAAATTGCACGCAATAATCGAAATACACGACAGAATCACCAGTCGCAGCTGATGTGAGGAAATCTTTGAAAGCATCTTTGAAACACCACAGAATGTGACTCCATCCTGAAGTCAGGTCTCGTTAGTCCTTCGATCGTCACAACCGGACAGTTACTGGGTCGTCGTTCGCTGAGTCGGGCACACCAATCACATCTGTCAAGGATGAAGACGTTCGCCTGTTCAGACGTGAAAATTCAGATGCAGTCCAACGTGCTTTGGTGGGGTAGTGGTAACACGCTCGCCTCGCATGTCAGATGTCCGGGGTTCAATCCCAGAACGGTCATTGGATATGCACTGCTGGTGAGCACTAATAAGAGCGAAACTCGAGTCCAGTGCTTCCCTTTGATGTGGACTCACAGATCAGGAGTACGACCGTTCAAACGGGAGTGGTGTGAATATGAACAAAATACCTATTCCGCGAAACCCCCAAAACCGCAATCCTTCGTTTGTCTATCGATTCAACGACGTTCCAGGCTTTCAGTGCACAAGAACTGGCGCAAATCTACACACAATAAGGGCTTCAAACTGACATGAAGACACGGACGGTCAAAATGTGTCTACTGTGTAATGGACAAAAAGCCGTCGGTTATCTCTAGCAGCCTCAAATTGTTTTCAATTTCTGCAAAAATCGATATTCATCAGTGCTGAACCCTGATGTGCGCCGGCTCTCCCCAAAAGAGCGAATCACATCCTCATAAAGGAAACTCACAAGGCTGCTGAAAACTCTTCACAAGCCCTCAACCAGTTTCGCCCTTCTTGAGGGTCATCAGGTGGGCACCGTCCCCGAATTTCCGTCAATCTAATATGCCACTCTAGAGTTTGATACATTTAAGCGCCAAATAACTTGTTTTGGAAAACTACTCGACAAAAATGCGATTTAATAAAACAATAACGGAGCGCAGTTGCAGTTAACATGATATAAGCCATTAAACGAGAAATCGTATGGTTTCTATAAGATTAACGATAGGACACTCTATTGTAATCGCATAAAACGGTTGGAAAATTTTGACAAGTTATGAAGAGACATTCATACACGCGAACCTGCTTGCCAAGGAGTGTCGCGAAACGAGATAATCCAAGTAACGAGTCAAAACACACGTATTATTGCTCATTTAAAGAGAAAATAATCAGTATAACTTGGTCGTCTGAATAAAAAAATAGACGCTTACCTGGAATGGAACGGACTACTTAGACCCTACACGGGAACAGGCAAAGACGTGGTAGCATCTAGTTTTACAGAAAAACTGTTAATTTGAATGAAAAATTCATTAGCTATTTATTTCAATCGCGGCAGAAAAAGAAAGAAAATAAAAATTAGTTGTTCAGCGTGAAAATATTCATTTCTGTTTGTTCCGAAGTCGGGACTCGGAAGGACAAAGGTCACTCCAGATTACGACGGCAGGAGATGTCAAGTTCAAGGGTCACTCGGGCATCGGCGAATGAGGACACAGAATAACAGAGCAACCAATGGAATCACCCGACCGAACAACGAATCGCGATCAAAGGTCATCCCCGGTTAGCAGCACGTATATTAGCACACACGTAACAGTACTTAACGCACAACCACCAACCAACGCACCACTACGCTCCCCAATGACGCACTGATGGTGTCACCTTGATTGGTGATGAAACGTTTGCAATCAAATTGCCCAGCTCAGCGAACAAGCCAACGACCCGTTCCGAAACTCTTCTTACTTGGGTATTTCCTTTGACTCTAAACTATATGTCCAACCGTTTAGTTCAGACACCATGATGGTGGAATTCAAAATGATATGTCGACACTCATGAGATAGCGAGTTTCATGTTTGCAAAGAAAAAACATTCCAGCATCGTGGTATATAGATATATATATATATATATATATAATGTGGCATTGTATGGTATATATAGTATTGTATTTCTCAGTTGGTCTTCGGTTTACAAAACATTCGGTCCAGAAGTTTTGTACGTGGCTCAACAGAATATCCGGGAATTCTGATGTTAACTAGCGAGCAAAAAGCAACCAGCAATGTTGTGGATAGACCATCAGACATAGTGTCTGGAGTTGCGACTGGTGCTCGGTATTTTTGCATAAAATTCAAGTTGTACCGTGGCCATGCTCGTTAACCCAAATGATATCATGGCTGATGACCAATAAATTTGCCATTTTCACCGGTAAAATTACATGTTTACACGTCTCCGTTTACCAATTGTTCCGGTCTGTTCTACATTTATATAGCAGTGTAAACCAAATGTGTGATTCACACGATGAGTCGACTGTTTTACTCACCAGGCGTGCATTGCACAGGGACATCTCTTGCGCCGACCTCAGAGAAGCACACAGTCGTGTCATCGAACGAACCAACAGATCCTGATAGACGTTGAATTCACCACCAAAACGGTTAATGGTCTGTAATGTGTCGGCCACCGTTTTTCGAATAGTCCCAGTCGCGCCGGTCACCGAGACCAGTTGAGGAGACACTGTATCAGCTGCTTGAAATATCGGTGTGATCTGATAGGTCTGTTGAAGTTGATCGATCAACTGAATGGTACTTATGTTTATTTCAGTCTGAGGAAATTTAAAAAAAAACGGCAGAAACTTCAGAAAGGGGAAAGAACTAAATTTGATAGAAATGACCTCTGACAGTGGCGAAAAATACGTGAGACTTGAAAGTCAACTAACATCTTTAATTATCTCAACTAAAGGGATTTTAAAACTAAGCTACCGAACCTAATTGAATGTGTAGATATATTGGTATTTGATGCACAGAAGTACCTAGCGATTTATGCAAAGGTTCGACAGGTCATACTATAGGATTTCAGTGTTTGCGTTAAAGTATACCATCATGACAAAACTTCATCAGAAATTTCCCCCCGTGGACAGGCCATCCCCACGAGGAGTGTACTCCGGTTTTTGAAGAAATGCTATCACGTGATTCCAAAATGCATATTCGGTGGGGGCATGGTCACAAAAAAATGCCAGTGCAAGCTTCATTCTACGGTCTAGTGTAGTGGTTGGAATCCTTTTTGGAGAGTGTTGGAATATGGTGAATCAAACATGCTGAGTGTCTGAATCAATTAAAGCTGGTACAATTCCTGCACTATTCCAAAAAGTTGGAACCCAGGAACTTCATGAAATACAAGCGTTTGGATGCCAGTTCGGGAAGACTCAACCGAATTCCTGTCGCATCTAACGTTCAGGGCTTTGTTCACAGTCACAGCACTCTCATTTGAACGGTCGTCCTCCTGTTCTGGCACCATTATTCCTGCGAGTCCACACCAAAGTTTTGCTCTTATTAGGGCTCATCAGCAGTGCACATCCAATGGCCGTGCCGGGATTTGAACCCCGGACATCTGACATGCGGGGCGAGCGTGTAACAATTACTCCACCAACGCACGTTGGACGAATCTGCAGACGAACGTGTTCACATTTGAGCGGTGTGTGTGTGTGTGTGGTGTGCCCGACCCATCGAACGATGGTTTTGTTGTCCGGTTAAATGTGACAAACAGAGACCCTTTGGTGTTCGCGTGGGTTTTATATTCGAAATATTGCAATGGATTTTCTTAAAGTAACACTACTGCCAAGGTTACGAAAACCCCCTCATAGCCATGACCGGGATGGCCCTTTGTGGCGCTGCTCGAGTAGACGCAGTCAGTGAGTTTCAGTCAGCCTTATGTTCTTCTTCGCGAAATACATGCATGGTTCCAAGATAGATGAAACCGGTCGCGGTCAAAGACCTTTCAGCAATTTTTTAGTGTCATTTCTCTAAGAATGTGGACACCTCTTTCAGTGTTACCAGACCCTTTCATCCAAATTTTTACAAATAATAATTTTTGTGCCACCCCACATTACCCCAAAAGTTGGTTGTTGTCGAACAAATGAACTCTGATACAACAAAATGAACGAAAATGATGAAGCGAATCTCGATAAATGTTGATCTTCTGCAGCAATTCACTCCTTGGAAGTATAAATTTCCCTTTGAATGAAACCACATTTTAATGAGATCTGATGCCACGGTTTGTATGATCGCTTTCTACAAATGACCTTGATTGTCACGTGTCTTCAGTCATGCGAGCTTTATCCATTTAGTCACTACCAAGCCCGATTTTTCCACTTGGTGGTCACAAACTCTGACGTGCCCCAAGCCGATGTTTGATTGATGACAATCAGGAAATGAGTTAGATCTTGTACTGTGAATTCTTCTTTTAGAACAGAATAAAAGAACCCCCTGACCGCCAGCATTTGCGGAGTAGCCGTATCACACCAAACTGTGAGGATGAACACTTTCCGGTCACGTGAACAAACAAATTCAGATGTTCTTTTCTACGTTTCATTTGCTTCCTAGAACGAATGATGCAATAAACATGGTCTTTGAGAGACATCGTGGGCTCCACCACCTTTGCATTCGTTTTCTTTGCAAAACAAACGTGATGACCCAGAAAATTTTGACTTTCAAACGGGTTGATAGACTCTACTTTATACCAAATGTGACTGGCAAGCGTCTGAGATGAAACTGTCCGATGCACACTTTATATAACAAAAAGTAGGCTTAGGAGCGTGGCTCATTTTGAAACGCCATGTCTGGAATAGATTGAACGTTTCAGCCCAGTGGCTAGTTTTGTGAGGAATTTGGATGAAATGAACGGGAACGGTCATTCCTTCACAATCGATGAAATCATGTACGCAGACATTTCAGTGCACGGTGACTAATTCTTCAAAAAATGCACAAATATACTGTAAGCAGGTTGATATGAACGCCCTAAATTTGTTCAGTCCAGTTTAAACGTTTGTTAAAAATTTTGCACATCCGTAGGCAATCTTATGGAAATAAAGGACAGTCACTCATTGAAAAAAATCTTCAAATCGAACACCAACCAAGCAATAAAGCGTTTTGGTCACTGATTCCTCTAGCTACCCGCCTGTGAGGTGTGTGTGTGTGTGCATGTTTCACATCAAATTCAGAGTAGCCATTTCCTCTAGTCAACGATATCCGCAAGTAACTAACCTTCTCATTGATTTGACAGGCTATAAGCGATTTCAGTTTATAAAGAATCGATACCGATCGATCGGACTGGAAGAGGTTTTAGGCTGAGTGAGTCAATTTTTGATAGGAGCACTATGGCGAAGCTCCTGATCATGCACCAAATCAAAGCATAGAATAAGATTTAGCTCATGGATACGGCCACAGTATTTGTGAGCACTTCCAATGGAACAAAACCTGTTGACAGTTAGCTTCCTGCCTCAATTGTTGGGTAAGGCCTAGAAATACCTATCTCAAAAGCCCTCCAAAACGTTTCGTTCTAGTTCTTCCGACTCTGTACAACAACGACCTCTTTTCCTTGCTGTCAGCACCATTTATCCACTTTCGCGCACTGTTCTCCGAACGTTTTAGTAGAGCGATACCCATTATCAGTTAGTTTCTACTTCACTTCCGGAACGACCAGGAAAAATATTTTTTATTAAAACTGAATGGATACGTTTTCATAAAGGAAACTACTTACAAGGTTGCTGAAAACTCTTCGACAGCCCACGATCGGTTTTGCTCTTGTTGGTTTTCGATGTTCTCCAACTGAATGTGCTGCAAACAGACCGCCTCAGTGGGTACGATATTCGAGATATTACAGTATATTTTCATAAAGGAAACTACTTACAAGGTTGCTGACAGATGGTGGCAGATGCCCTGTGATGAAAGGCTTGTTATCATTCGAACATACTAGAGTGTTCCATCAAGAAACTTCTGCGGGCCTTCGCCTTAAAACGCCCGGCTCGCATTGCGTGACATTTCGTTCTTCTAACTCCTTTGTCATAAGTTTTGGACTCTACAAGTTAGTAACACGGTTTCACAAAGGTCGCTGACCAGTCTTCATGAGACCACGACAGCTTTCGCTCATCCATTTTGGCCGCAGTCCCCGAATCTCCATCAACCCCATGTTCCACTTGGACGGAAAACTCACGTAATTCGCCAACTGCTGCATGCCTTGCCCATCAGCTTGGTCTATACCGAAGACTTACCTGAATCGCCAACCTAACGAGTACTTTCGTGGAGTATCTTTTTCACATGGTTCTCAGTAGACGATTCACACAGCGATGATTGGTAGGATCCCGGAAACTCTCGTGGCTTGGTGGTGCTCGATTCCACCGGAACTGGTCATCACAATAAAAATCGACATCACGTGACTTCCTAATTCAGTATAGATAAAGGTCAGGCAATGTCTGGTCAATGGTATTGCCAGAGAGGGAAAGACACGTTACGATCATTGGGTGGATCATGACGTGGGCATAAAACTTTGGTTCGGAAAACCGAAACATAAGCAAAAAATGGAAACAATTCAACTTTAAGGGCAGGCGAAACACTAAAGTCTGTAACTGAATAAGCGAGAAAGGAAAGTCGAAAGTTTGCTGGTTATTCCCATTAGGCTAGGGTTAGAAATGAGGACATCCACTCTTGGAGACATAAGGCCATCGCTAGACTGCAATTTCTTTAGTCAAGCGGAGGGTACTTGGTCTTTTTCGGCGACCAAAAGTCCTAAAAAACATGGAAGGTCCTCGCACGGTGTGTCCAGCAAATGTCTTACTACAGGGTTGGATTGCTTCATCTCTGGTAAACTTCCTTAAACTGCAACAGGTAACTCACCTTTTGTCTCACATACATGCTCGCTGTTAGATGTATATTCGCAAATTTAATGCACTAGTAGGGTTAAAACATTCCAGCTATATTATTCGGTTATTGCTGGATAAAGTCCGCGATCTAAGCAAATATTAATGAAGAACTTTTATGCTCGTAAGGTTCTTTCAGATCACGGTTGGTACACAGCCAATCAGAAGCGGTATTTCTCTCAGGTGGCCCGGATTTTAAAAAGGGTAGAGCAAAATCACACAGTCTTTCAGGGAATCGTATTTTAGTTTATCAGACTTCCCAAGATTCAACGGAAAGAACTGTGTAATGATGTTTCAACCAGCTTGTCTTTTGTTTGCTAAACAGAACGGGCCAAGTAGCTTTGCGAATATACACTCATTTGCAAACTAATTTAGTTTTGCGACAGACTCATTCCGAACCCAGCTAAAGCTCTCGTTTGTGATGTTTCCAGGCAACTGTAGGTGCCGCACCAGGCCTGCCTCATAGTTCAGTCACTACGACATTCGAGATATCGACACATGTATATTCGTAATGCACTACTCATAAGGTTGCTGAAAATTCGTCGACAGCTCACGACCGATTTGCCCTTCTTGGAGCTCATCACGTAGGCACAGTCCCGGGTTTCCGTCAACCTTATGTTCTACTTTGGGGCTCCAAAAAGGGCAAAACCGGTCGTGGGCTGTCGACGGGTTTCAGCAACCTTATGAGTAGTACATTACAAACTATGATGTTTTTTCTAGCGGGTTACTGTGGCCAACACTTGAGGTAATTGGAAAGTTCAGTTGGCGGGCAACGCGACCTTACCGAAAGAAAAGCATTTTTTTTAAGAATTCCAGGTGTTCTTCTAGTTTTTTCACACTTGTACTATATGGAGGAGGTCAACCACTGAAGATTGCGTGGCATAATTTGACTACCCGATTGCTAAGGCAGTTTCGTGGCACATTTTGAAAACGTGGAATTTCCAGGAAGCGCACGAGTTACTGGAAATGGAATGATGAAGCAGATGGCTGTTCTCATTGGAGGAAAAAGTTTTTTCGTTGACCAATCATCAAAATTTCTTAGGTGCCTCTTGAAAATAAGAAAATATTCAGGAAATCACTCAATTGCTGCTCAGCCTACGTACCCTTGGTTTGGATTTGAAGCATATATAAAGGCTCCTTTGTGCTGGAAGACACTAGCAGACACCGGGGCAATTTTTCCAGTGTATTCTAGTGTATTCTAATAACCAGTAACTATGTAGCGTTGCCAAAGCTAACATGACATCCAATAGTATTTCCAAAGAAGGTTAACGTACCGCATACATGTTAGCATCGCTCTATCGATATATCAATTTTTGACAGAAGAGTATTGATAAGAGAGTCAGAAACCGGAACGCTGTTGGCTCCAGTAGCATGTGGCACGTTCGAAGTTCTATGCAAATGAACCTCTGAACAGGGTTTCTATAAATTTTGGCCGGGTCTGGTCTCAAAATATTCAAGAAATCCCCCTTAGCTGTGTCCTATCCCAGAAGGTCAGTTTGAAGAAACACAGTGACTGACTGCGCTTGCGTGTACATCTCGAGTTTTCATGATCTCAAGTACATTTGCCTATGCATGAAGCACTGCCTGAACGTTGGCCAGTCATGTGCGCATATGAGTCATATTTCACTTCACAATACTTCAGTCAAAAAAGACACTTTGGGATACCTTCCCGGTAAAATTTGTGCGTTATTTCTGCTTTTTGAGCACACGCCACATGTGGTACTCGGTCAGTGGAGGGACGCGTAGCATGTCTAATGCTGGTCAATTTGACGATTAGGACAGAACTTGGATCGGTCAATCCACCAACCACATCATCGAAAAAAATCGAGTGCAAAAAAGTGAAGGAGTTTCCTCTCGGAGTACAAAAAAACTTCTATTTTGTGGATCTTTCGGTGAATGGCTTGTCTGAATCTGAGGTTATCGATCAAAAATTCTGACACGACGAAATAATATAGACAAATTCAGCGGAAAAAATATGGATGTAGGGGTTTTGTGGGTTTCCAAAATTTCCATTCTTGTTCTATAAATTTCTGAATGAGCAGGAACGCCTAGCTACTTCAGATGCTAGTCAAGTAAAATACCGGTCAGTTACGGGCATCTGATTTGCAGCATCAAACGTGCTCTCAGGCAGGTCATGCCGCCATCAAATCGTTTGATTTGTTTATAATTGACTTCCAGAATGTCCGTAGGCCAGTAGCCGCTAATAACCGAACAGCTATTCTATTGGACGGATGTTTCACGTGCGGGCTACCCACCAAACGATGGCATGCCCTGATTGATCAGAATGTCAGCCAATCTGGATCGAGTATCCCTAGCTCGAAACGTCTCGCCAACTCACGGAAATCCTAACACAACTGTGTAGAACGTTGTGTGATTACCCTATAAATACAGTTGCAATAAGCTTTCTTTGTCTCCATAAAGGACTGTCTAGAGCCACCGTGTCTTTTAATATACCATAGTGATCGGAGCAGGAAGTCAAGGAACGGGAGAGAGTTGCACGACCGTACACCAAGTCACAACACAGAATAAGGACCTCTTAGTTGGATTGCTCACGCAAATTGTTGGACTTTCTTCCTCGTGAGCAGTTGTTATACAGCTCCAGTCCTAAAGACTTGAAAATTTGAGGGGTTTACCTAGTGTCCTTCGTGACTTTCATGACCAGTTTGAGAAACTAGACATTCTGGATATACAAAGCTTGAATTCTCAATAGGTTGATATGTGTCCGTTTTTTGTCCATCCAGGAATGCTCAAACGTTTTTTCGAACAATACTATCAGATGTATTCCCCTGACGACAGTGGACAGCCCATCAGAACAGGAAGACAATTGAGCAAAGAAACAAATCAATCTCACTTACAATGTCTTTCAGTTTAGAGATAACGAATCGAGTGAAGTTAGCTCCTCGATATTTCAGGCCGCCTGTCTGTTGAATCAGTGTCAGTATGTGAGTAAAGTTCATGTTCACAATTATTCCTGGATAGGAACGTTACATACTACTTACTTACATTACCTCGTCATCTGAGCGACAACTACAATTTTAAGCTGAATGTACGCGAACTCGACTAGTACTTTTTTGTAAACAGTGACAACCTCTCATTTTTCTTTTCTCGATCAACACTAAGAAATTCCGGTAATAAACTGCCTAGATTGATTCAGGCATTAATAATGCAGAGTTTAGGTCAAAGAAAACTTACCAGTGATAGCGCCTTAATTTGAGTAACTGTAATATTCGACTGCCGTCTTCCATCCATTACGGTATCTTCCAAAAACTTCATCAACAGGGTCCGAAATCGATTCACCGCTGTTGGAATTGTGTAGACCGGTTTGGATTTACTTTTTTGTGGGTCTGAATACTCCCAAACACTGTTCATTGTGTACAGAGCAAAAGTCAGAAAGAAACAAATCAGTAGTATGAAGGCGTAATTGAAGCAAAGTAGAGTCAAATAGGCACGCTTAGGCTTGGGGTTGTGCAGGCGAGGTTCACTTGGATTTGAAATCAGTTTCTCGGTAGAATGATTCAGGACAAAAGAGGTACTATCCGGTTCCGGTGACGGTTGACGTTGCCATTGGATTTGTTGTGATTGCTGCCGTGCCTGCGCTGCATTGATTGGCATTTGTGCTCCGTTCGAACGAAATCGATTGACTCGCACGGTGGGGTACTGAAACGAAAAGGAGAGGAACTATCCTAAATCAGGCAAACTCAATCAATCAATCAATCAATCAATCAATCAATCAATCAATCAATCAATCAATCAATCAACCATGCAAACTCAATCATGCAAACTCATTCATGCAAACTTTCAAATAATTCTGACACATTGAAGTATTTGTCTACTGGATACATTTTGGCGGCAGAAGCAAAGTGGCTGGAGGGATGTGCATGGCTGTAGTTGTTCAGAAGTGCACCTATTTCGGAGTGTTCAATATCATCTGCGTTACTTCGATTAAGGTGGGTATGCAATTGGGACTTCATCTTTCCAGTGTAGACAAACCATGTTGGGAAGCACTCTACAGCTGTTTCGTCTTTTTTGGGAAACATCAGCAGTGCGTACCTCATGAGAATTCAGTATGGATTTTGGGACCCAAAACCGCTTGTCCGAGAGTCACTGATCCGCAGTGTGATTAACCTTCATTTAGACAGAATAAAGAGCTACTCATCCTTCAATGATGGAGACCACATCACGTGGTCAAATACGGACTGGCCCGCTGGGTGTGTCTGATCTTCCGACCCAGTTCACCAAGCACCAGTTTACTCATAAGAGTACCACCCAAAATGAGACAAATAGGAGGCTCCCCAGAAGCTCCGTCAATGTGTCAGTAAAATGTGGAATTAAATTGGAATCCTAAGTCAGAAGTACTGTGTCAAAGCAGTTCCGTTGAGAAGACTTGAGGACTGAGAGGGTCATACTTGAGGCGGCAATGTATTTACAGAAGAATTTTGTGGTTTCCGTGGGTAGGAGGTTGGTAAAAATGGAGGTCAAATTAAAAGGACGCACAAATTTCGAAAGAAAACCAACGTCTTGCGCCAGATCCGCAAACTCAAACTATTGCGAACCGAATTGAACGAAACTGCAATGGCACACACCAACACAAGTAACATAAATGATTGTTGTCTCCAGTGGAAATACTAGTAAAGTTAATACTAGACAAGCTTTATGGGGTTAAAAATCAATACCAGGCCCGTCTTTAAAAAAACTAAGCGACTGGCGCCACTACCAGGTAGTTGTTACGCCCCTGTTAATATCAAGCATCACGAATCCTGGCATTTGCTACTTTCGGCGGCTCAATCGACAGACTGGCAATGAATTTTCAAGGTTGATCCAAGGTGGGGTCGTTCTTCTTAATATTCAACTACCTCCCTTTGTTCGTCAAAAAACCCCTTCCTCCTTCCTTCACGAGCTTACTCTTTTATAGTGATATCTCGGGATTTACTACGATGCCCAGTGTCAGCAACAGCCTGTTTCTCCCATTCCTGAGAAAGTTTCCCGAAAACGTGGAAGTACGTCGTGGTTACAGCTGAAAACTGTTCATCCAAGACTGATCAGGGCCTTTTCTCTCAGTGTACTTCACAGTTGCGTGCAACTTGATGTTCAGTTAGAAAGTAATGTGAACGTCCACCTGATAAGACCGGAAGATGGCGAAATCGGTTGTGGGCTGCTGAAAAGTTTTCAGTAGTCTTACACCAAGTATAAGTATTAACAAGAAACTTTTCTCACGCAATAATAACACGCTGCAATACGTGGATGAAGACATTCTGTGGCAAACAAAATGAGACGGGTCCGATGGTAGACCGCTCGACCATACTATCCGTGATACGCACGTGATCGCGAAAGCAGATGTGGCCCAATAAATGCGTGTTGACGCAAAGTCTAGGACGTGTCTACTTACCGTGCAATCTAACCATATGAATTATCACTTTTTAAGGCAATAGACTAACAGTTTTCGACAGCACTGAAACGAGAAGTCCAGAAGAATGGAAAGAAGTGGGACGGTTGGGAAATCCAAAATTGATCGATAAGCCCTTGAGAAAAGTGAACAAAAACAAGGTATTTTAAGTCTTATAACCACACGTAAGAGAAACTATCTGAGCCTAATCGAAGGGAGACAAAAGTCCCACTGTAGCAGTTTTTGCTCTGTGTTGTCATAGCATGGTCTGCCTACACAAAAAGTTTGCCAGCTAGCGTATGAAACAACAAACAGAACTGGGCAGAGTGCGGACAGACAAGCTGTTCTAAAAATGTCCACCTGCTCTCAGGCGCACAAATATACACCGATTTATTGGAAGGCCCGTAAAAAAACGGTAGATAAGGTCATTTTCTCGGAAATTGCTTGATGCACTTGTATTCAGTGTAACGTTCAACAAACATTTTGGTTTGTCATAGTGAATTCTACCTCAGTATGTTCGTTTCAAGGTCGTTCATGCACGTCACGTAGAATAGCAGGATCAAAAATCTCGAAACAGTTCTCTTCATGCACACAAACCTTTTTCCGCTGAAACCATACTTCGGCTCATCGAGATCCAAGTAAGCATCTTCGTTTTCCAAGTTCCGAGTTCGTGTCATGCTGAATGGCTGATGCCCAACACAATGCCGCGAAATCTTAGGGGATTAACCCAGTAGACAGAGTGACGCTTTACAACATTTCACAGGTCTGGGTTGCAGTTTTGACGAAGTATTACACGATAAACTGACATCCGTTAACTTTCGAAGGCCAACAAGACCGCTGCTGATGCAGTCTGACTTGAAACTGCTCCAACACGATTTAAATGCCGCCTACTTTTGATTGGGGGCGAGATGGATCAAGTGTTTAGAGCGCAAATTTACTGACCGGAAGGTCCGTGATTCGAGCCCGACCTCCGCCACTCGACTTCCTCTATCTAGGCTTGGGCAACCCGGCAGTGTCCCAGCCCTCGTGCCTCCTTCGTGTGGCTAGACACCGAAAGGGTGCTTCAGCTGGACGATTTTTTTCGATTTACTTCTGATTGTAATCCAATCTGTTTCACATTGGACCGATATTTCCATCAGACAGAAACCCGTTTTCGAATCCAGCTTGAGATCATGATAATTTCCTATATTACTTTGCCCGTGTACTTACCGATCACGCGTTTCGCCAATCCATCCCCTCCGTTAGCCTTGTTCTAAAGATTGTCCTTTCTGACAGAGGTATACTAGCGAGTGTCTAGACGCTGAGCGATGGTTGTTCGTGCCCCGTGTACTGGCTGCTTACTTTGTCGTGATTCCCGCCAGTCAGGATCACGAGACTGGCCTCGAAAGGGACGACCGCAACACACACTATCGAGCTAACCTTTCCCTCGAAATTTTCTGGTGTGTACAAACGTTGACACTCCTCTGTGCCGGTCAGTGACAGACTTATTTCCTCTATCGTTTTTTGTACTTTTTATCTGTGTATTTACTGTCCTTTTGGGAGCAGTCAGACGCTGTCGGTCGCACGTTTTTTTAGACACACACTGCTTCTCTCTACACTACCTTTGAAGATTATTATAAGGCTTTGACTATTCCCTTGAAACTAAAACCACGAAAACTGGCTACCCGTCGAGGATAACTGGTGTACTTAGCAGAATCTTTGCACTTCAGTGATTGGATCGCTTCACGATTCCGCTCCCACCTTTTGGGACTGAAATCTTGGATGTGATGTCGACTTAAGATGGTCGGGCCCAGATGTATCCCTCATCCATCAGGGTACAAACAATTCTCACCGGAATAATTACACCAGAACAGGGGGACGACCTTTCAAACGCGAGTGATGTCGCTATGAGCAAAATACCCATCCCGCAAAAGCCAAGAAAAAACTGCAATCAATAAGTTGTCCGGGGGGTTTCAAGCGTGTGTCACGCTACCTGACTGGGAAGTCCTGACTGGCGGGTAAATCGATCGCCACAGCCAGGACAGTTACTGGAGCGTCGTTCGGCCCACCAATCACATCGCTCAAGTGTGAACACGTTCGCCTAAAAATTCAAATGCGTCAAACGTGCTTTGGTGGAGTAGCGGTTACACGCTCGCCTCGCATGTCAGATGTCCGGGGTTCAAATCCCGGCACGGCCATTGGATATACACTGCTGATTCGCTCTAATAAGAGTGAAACTCGAGTCCAGTGCTCCCCTCTGGTGTGGACTCACCGGAATAATTACACCAGAACAGGAGGACGACCGTTCAAACGCGAATGGTGTGGCTATGGACAATTCTCTGATAATTTCATTAAAAACGCTCACTCGCGATCTCAAATGCAGCAAATCGCTTCTGTTGTCTGTCTTCATGTTAGCGAACCTCGGCGACACGAAACTCCGTCTGCAACATTGAGGTGTTGGTCGGTACGGAGGTCGTTGATGTCAATTGACATTTTGGCCACAGAATAAATGGTCTGGTCATGTTTGTTGTGGGATGCACTGTGGTACCGAACACAAACATGGCTAAAAATCGATCCACATAACATTCTACACGCAAATTTTCATCAAGCTAAGAGATTATTCACCCAGTTTGTAGTAAGCATGGACTACTGAGATCTGGTTAAGAGCAACGCTTCACACAAGGTTCGGAGTTTACCCGTTTTCTGTTGAAATTCAGGGAAAACATTTTGAAGGAGGGCTTTGGACTTGAACATTCTGTTCTACCGACGCCCCAAATGCCCTGAAGATTAGGTCAATGGTTTAATCTCCAGCAGTGTCGGTCACATCCCCGTTCAGTACCGCTCAGAGTTTGGAAGAGGCAAAATTAAGATCACGACATCATTCAAACGCAAACAAGCAAGCCTGAAGTGTTGAATGAACACACTCTGATGTGGGCAGTGGTCTTCCCGCTATGGTGAAGAGTCTTTAATGCACTACGTCAGGGGAACGCATTTCTCCTTAGCAGTGATCTTTGGTTGGTTGGTTTGGCTTGTTCGTTTGTCTAACGGTTTCGTTTGACATAGCAAACTAGCTAAATTGTATACAAACGTGGAAAGCAGTCGTTCCTCAAATCCCTCTGTCTTCTGGGAAGATCTCCAGACTGACTGAAACTGCTGGTGGCGTACTGACGTCGAGGTGCCTCAGAGGTTTAGGCTGCCCGAGTACTTGTTTCAAACCCAACCTCAGCATGTCAACTAACCTTGTCTAGGCTTGCACAACCTGACAGTACCTCAGTTCTCCTGGAACAACAGCAATGCACCTAGAAGGCATTACGTCTTTAGGATTATTAGTGCTCATTTTACGGTAATGGGACTATTCCGTGCTCTGCATTTGTGGCACTCCAGACGTGAGAAGTGCCCTGTCATTCCGCTTATGTTGATTTTACTACAAAATATGTATATCAATCCCCCTTTTAGGCAGGGCGAACGGATATATACAGGGTGTCTCATAATAGACGCAAAAAATACCCATGTTAAAAGTTTAACACTAATTTAAACATTTACCATTTTTAATGTAAACATACATTTATTACGGAGGTTTACTGTCAATGAATTGGCATTACAAAAGATGTTGAAAAAAATCGCCCCTTTCTTCTATAACAAGTTGGAGGCGGTATGAGATGTTAGACAGAGCATGTTTGACTTCATCAAGCGTCACTCGTGCACACTCCTCTTCACTTCTTGATCTTAACTCTACCAAATTCTTCGGTTTATTTTCATGACATACCAATAATTCAGAGGTGTGAGATCGAGTGACTTTGCAGGCCAAAAGTTTTGAAATCCACGAGCAATGAATCGCTCATCAGAAAATTGCTCTCGGAGGTAAGTTTTCATTTGGTTTGAGTAGTGGAGTGGAGCGCCATCTTGTTGAAAGACGGCTGATTACTTCCATTGCTGCTTAAGTTGCGGGATAACATGCGTCTGCAACATATGGAGGTAACTGTCGCCGGAAACCGTAGCATCAAAGAAAAAGGGACGCAGCAGGCACTTTGAGGGGAATCCCATCCTTGGGACTGAAACAGCTCGACGAAATTCTATAAAATGGGCTCTCTCTCATCACTCAGAGACTTTCTCCCTTTTGCCAGGAAGATCCAGTACAGATCCAGTGGACTCAAATTTCGCAATCCGGCATGTAATGGTCGACACAGCGAAAGGATCTTTGATGGGACCATGTTTGGTTTTGTAACCACGAAGTGCAGCGGTGGCGCCTTCATCAAGAGAATAATAGAGTTCCACAATTTCAATGAGCGTACTGACATCCATCGTGAACACAAAAAAATGTTAACACTTGTTTACTAAACCTCCTTTATATGGCTACTAATATTAGAACATTTTGTTATCCTTCCTCTAATTGACTACGTTTACTTATTCAATTAAGTTTTGCGTTTATTATGAGACACTGTATGGAGCTCACATTTATGCAGCTCATATTTTATGCCTGTGTTCACCTTAATAAACATCAAAATTGTAATGTTTCAATTGCTTTCCTGGAAATTTCGACAGTGTTAAAAAGCGTATTCATAATCTCACCGTCAAACTTACATTGACATACATGTCTGATGAATTCACCGAGTTCGTTGGGGATGGCGCACGCTTCGGTGCCTGTGGCGTGGGTGTGACATGCGCAGACCCAGATCGCCCCGTTTTCTTCACATCATGCAGAATTGCTCTGACAGACCCAACGGAAAGAACAGGATCTTGTTTGGTCAGTTGCTTCACATAGTTCACAGTGGGGTTTCTCACTGCATGGCTTGTCTTTTCACGTCTGGACCCACAACGTTCGGACCAGCAACAGCAGGCCGTTACACAGGTCACGAGGGCAATGATAAAAGTACACAGAAGAACAATAATAGACAGGATCAGCAACACAAGAACTTGTCTTGGTTGTGATTGCACTTCAGTCAACCGTGTATTAATATTGTCCCCAGTTTGCGTGAGTGCTTGGTACACATTCAGTGGTTGTACGGGAAGAACTAGCATCCCCTCGAGCAAAGTTGACGCAAAACTCGGATTCGAGAAATTGGCCAATCGTAACAAAGTTGTACTGTTCGACTGAGGAGTGGAAACGGTTTCGAAAATGTAGTTATATATTCCAGCATCGTGAGCCGGGGCGAGGAGAACGCTGAACTGTGCAAAACATCTGTTGATCCATGCTTCGACTGAACTGGTCATCTGAGATAAACGGGAAGGTGAGAAAGGGTTGTCAAATGATTATGGTAGTCGTTACTATTATTCTAATACTGCATACATCTTACAAACCCTGGGCATTCAGCCACTGACGATCCGCTCGTACCCCAAGGGTTAACTGCTCCCTAATCGACAGATTCCGAGTTTGAACCTCCGTGTGGATTCTCAAGGTGCCTATTGTTGTTTATTCCCAATGAGGATGAAACAGCTGTGCAGTGCTTCCCGGCTTTTCAGCATCAACTGGCTTCACTTACAAGATGAAATCTCCATCAAAGACTTCCAAATCTCTCCACCCTACCCGCACTCTATCAGTGAAAAGGAGAAGAAATTCACAAGACAGGTGAAACTTCCGTCTGAAATGTGATCACACAAGGAGTTAGTTGTAAGGTTGTACCAGTTAATTTGTGCTAAGAGGCCATTTTGAGGCATTCAATTCACTGGAGATAACCAACGTAGCAGCCATTTGTTGGAGCTAAGGTTGGCTGAGTCTCGAGCACTGGGCTTACCTGACGAGCCTTGATAAGGGTGAAATCGTCCGTGGGTTTCCAGCAAACTTATGGACAATCTTCTGTCAAAAAATACGCCCTGATACCTAGAATATCGTATCAGATGATGAACTTTGCACGGGAAAATTAAGTTTAGTATTATCAAAACCGAGAGTTCCAGTTGCGATTCAACGGAGTCTTCGGTTAAAACACACTTTGTTTTCATGGATTTTTGATTGTGGACTCTCGAAGTTTCGTCGAAATTATGAGTAGCTCCTCGTCATGAATACGACCTCGTAAATGAACCTCTGCGGTAGCCTACCATCTGTCTTTCTAGCTATTCGAGCTATTCTAGGTGCAATAAGTGAGCCGATGCATTTCCTTGCTCCCACTCTCCGGATAGACTTAACTATCGTGATTAGTGTGTTTTTATCGATTTTTTCCAAAGTAGATCGATCCTGACAGATGGAGATCATTGTTGATATTATGAGGTGACTCGCGATTATTGTGGAGATTTCGTCCTGAAAAGCTGAGAAACACTGTACAACTGTTTCATCCTTATTGAGAATCATCAGCAGTGCGCATCTCGTGAAACTCCGGAGAGTCTGGAACCCGCAACCTCCCGGCTAGTAGTTTGAACAATCTATAGGTAATAAACTTCACCCGATGAGTGAAACTTCCATCTGAGAAGTCGTTGCTCGAGGAGCCAGTCAACACGTGTGACCGCGTGATGTGGATCCCGTGATTGAAGGATGAGCGGCGCTATATCCTGTCTAAGTACGAGTTAATCACACTGCTGATCAGCCACTCGTGGCCGAACGGTTAAGTGTTTTAACTACTAGCCGAGAGGTCGCGGGTTTGAGACTCTTCGGAGTTTCGTGAGATGCGCACTGCTCATGAGTTCCAATAAGGATGAAACAGCTGTACAGTGCTTCTCGGCTTTTCAGCATAGATTAGCTTCACTTACAGGACGAAATCTACACTGTTTGCCGGTTGTCTCACTTCACCTGTTACACGGCCGATTCAATTTTCACTTTTGTCTCCTCAAACGCCCACTCCCCTCCGTCATGAGGCTGGTCCATTTCGAGGCATTCTTTCGCCACTCATTCATTTAATCCTTTATACTGCCGAAAACTGTAAAGACATCTAGATCGTTCAAGTGTATTGTCCATTCATCTGTTTGTCTTCCTGTTTCATCAAATTCAGACCCTGTAAAATATGAAAGCTCGTTTGACGACGTTCTTGCCAAAATAATAACAGCAAGATGCACTTTAAGACCCCGAAATTTTCCGTAATGATCTTTTTGCTTTTCTTGTAGCCTATGTGAGGTTCTCATCAACATTGAAGGCTAATTTTCCATTGCCGATGCCTGGGAATACCTCCTCCGTTGCATTGCGCTGGACTGCATAACCTCACTGCATAGACCTCAGTCCCTATGGGAGATTACCTCAAGCAAAAACATATTCCTTATTTTTATAACGTTTTTACATCCGCTACATCTTTTGTCTTCCATCTCTCTTTCCCCTCTGCCTTCTGTAGAAGGATTAACGTATCTGACCGGCGGCTACAGACTGAATTCAAGTACTTGCCTGATGGCTTTTCAGAATACTGCCCCTCATATCTCAGCTATGTACCCAGTTCTCTGTGTCAGATGAAATAGGTTCACTCCTACCGATGGCTCAACCCGAGTTTTTCGTGGCATCATTCGGCAGTCAGAGAAGAGTAGATTATATATTAACGGTTCCTCATTCAAGACCTCCACCGTTCTTTGTTCTTCTTTCACAGTTCAAAATAGTTTGAGTAGAGTTAAACGATGTTGTTCCTTTTTTCGTACTACCAAACTGGCTGGATTTATGGGAAATAAACCTACCCGTAACTAAGGTACAGCAATTCACTCGAACATTCGAACTGTGGGAGATGCGCGGAGTGCACTTAGCAAACCTCGTGCAGTTCGGACTGGGAGGAACTCATGAACTATATCTCAAATAGAGCGAAACCGGTTCTAGGCTACCGAAGGGTTGTCAGTCACCTTATAAGTAATGTGTTACATCCGGACATTGCGATATCTCGAATGCCATACTAAATGAAAAATGAGGCGACCTGATGAAACACATCATAAGCGAGAGATTCAACTGGGATTCAGGTGAGCCTCCTGTGGAAACCAAGTTAGCATGCAGATGTGTTTGTTTGTGGAAGACTCTCTTTGAGGCAAGTAGTGGACTTATTGTGACGTCGGAATAGAAATGCAAGCTCTCAAATAGACAGCTGGAAGTAATTCTTCCTTGTTAGCTCAGTTCGCTTTACTACCTTGTACAAGAGCTTTCTCGGTAAACTTAGAACATCTATCACCCGGAATGTTCATTGGATAAGTCATGTTGCTTCATGGCGAAATTGCTCGTTCGTTCTGTGATTCACACAAGTGGACCTGTCTGTTCACATACAAACACCTGTTTTCATCCTATCTGAAACGGAAGATTTCTGAGTAATCACTAGACTAGAAGTTTTTGTAACAAACTTGGCTGGTAACATGAATTCTTACTTGCGTATCATGTTACAGAAAACATAAATCTACGTATTCATCAAATAGTCCTCTCGGAATACCTCTAGAGCATTCAGGGAGAAATACTTACGGTTGCCGTCCTCTTCTTCAAAGCTTCATGGTTCTAGGAGTTCTGGGAATTGCATTCTCGAAGAAGCATCATTCTTCGCTTCGCAAAAAGCGTTAATTTTGAGTCAAAGGCTGGGAAGAATTTGGAAGTTGTTAGGATTGAAACGTCGGAAACACTCAGTTGGGAACGAACTAGTTCTCAAATATTCAAAGTGTTCTTTACTTCCCCAAGGATGCGCAACCTTTTGATCTCGACCTGCCAGCAAGTAAGAAACACTGTTCGAGTCCACTGAAACCATCGGATTGGTAATGCTGACGATCCTAGGAAGAACGAACTCTCCTATGATGGGTGAATTACTCCCGCTTCATAGGTGTTGCTAATTAGGACCGTCTATCTCGCAGGGCTCATTTTGCCAAGCCCTGTGCTGAGTGCAAGTGACCAAGGGGTGGACAACGTATGACCTGGCAACGAAGTATGAAAACGCTAGCCAGTAAACTGAGTCAGATCGACAACAGCCACCGCCCTGATTGGTAGCTCGGGACTCAACTCACCAATGACATTGGAAGAAGTGGCCCAATCGCGCGGTCAGTGGCGCTTGTGCATCGAAGCTATCACCTTCAAGGCGTAGCCACTCAGTTCCCGTACTAACTAAACATGCCATCGCCTCCAAGACTTGGCTGTATGTCTCCCTCTCCCACTTCCCTGTGATCAAAACGGTAGCAGCTGGAACCACTGTGCATGTGATACATGGTTTATAGTTAGTATACTGATTGATTGATTGATCGATTGATTGATAAGTACGAAGTCTATTGCTCAGTACGCGTGCAGTTGTGATGTTTATTCCAACAACCAAGTAATTTTCAAGCATGGATCCACTTATTCTGACGTTCCTCATGCGTGTTTCCACTGTTAGCATACTGTACGCATCCTGATAGATGAACTGACCACAATCCACAGGTTATGCTAGCTTGGTCACGTGCTTCGTCAACTCCCTACAGGAGGCCTTTTCGCACAACCACGCGAATGTTGGGAACTAGCCAGAGGAGGTCAAGCAATGACTTGCCAGTGATTAGTAAAGTCATTACCAGCAAACTCATCTGTGCCAATCATTACCATCTCCTTGGGTGGGGATTCCAAAACGTGACACACCAGTGGTTGAAGACATTGCCAAACATTGCTCAATCCCGTCCCTATTGACATGCATCCATCCAAGCTACTGCCTCCCTGATCTGCCCAACGAAAAGACCATGGACCCCAGTGCATTTACGCGCCACTTATAATAGCTACAGGCCTCCGATACTCAGCTATCTAGCCCCCGGGAACGAATCAGTGCCAGCTAGAACCAGCCTATGACAAGTACGCCATGTTTACAGCCAAGGATAATGACGATTATGATAGCACACGAGTTTGACTTTTTTCACTAACTTTGTGGGATAATTGTGAGTTCGTATATGAAACAAGAATTTCACGATTCTTCCCACTTACATTGTCTGGGGGTGATGTTTGGTGGAAACTCAAGTATCTCATTTTGCTAGGAGTTCAGGCCCTACGGACAATTCTGGATGACTTAAGATCTTACGGTACAACTTGGTCACCTCCATTGAATTAGAATACACATGACAAACTATGTACACAAAAGGTTGGCATGACTCAGTTACTTACCTTACCAGCTGGAACCCTCAAGTGAACAGAATGATTCGTCGTTTCAATGTATATTTTTGGGCGTCTCCAAGTCGGTGATTGGTTGGCGCTAATACTGTGTTTTCCACGCGTGCACATCAGCGGTTGTCATGGTAATCATTGGTGAGGAAGCTCAGTTGGAGGGGCGTCCATTGTATCTCACTGTGGCAACATCTACGTCACAGTCGTAAAATGACGCGAGAATTGAGTA